CCCCCTAACATTGGTGGTGCAGTGCACCAAAAACAGTATACTCAAACCGCCTCTGGGTCTTAATAAGTACCTGCAGCTTTGTAAAAATTCAAAAACATATATAATATCAATATACAAATGGAACTGTAATTACATTAATTGCAGCATGTTATTGTCAAAATAAGGACGTAACGGGGGCATGACCGTGTTTGGCGAATCACCCTGTGTACATATTATATACATATTGCATTATATTATGTATACGCCGTTGACCGGGTCGACCAGGCCGCGGAGTCGGGTGTTCCGGCGTACCCGTTTAACCCCGTACACTGTTCCGTCACCACCCCCGACCACCCACACACGCGCACACCCCCGCGTCCACTGACGCCTCCGACTACGTCTTTGTATTGATCAACCGATGCGCGACGCACACACACGGTCGACGCAAACGTTAAACGCGAAAAGAGAGGAAAAAATCTAAAATAATAATAAAATAAAATTCGTCGGCAACCCCCGAACTAGGACGAAGACGACGACGACCGCTGCCGCCGCCACCGTCGCGCCGTTGCTCTATGGTCGTGCGCGCGAAATATTATTGCCACTAATATTATCATTATTATTACTATTATTACTACTCTGTCGTTGCAGTTATACTATTACTGTTTATTTATTTTAAATATCACGCGCGCGTCCGAGCGTCCGGTCCGGACACATCCGAGACACGTAGTTGATATTTATATTACGACACATCGAAAACAATTCAGAGTGCAAGAGAACCGTACACGCCTGTTGACGGAGACAATTGAATCATCCGATACACGTATACTGTACACACGGATTCGCATATAATTGTTGTTATACTTAATACAGGAGCGCACGCGATCCCYATTCAACGGCGGCGCGACGGAGAAAACGTAATATTATAATTCGCAATAACGTCGTCGTTATAATATCGTACGCGGCCACCAGCGTTCGATCCGCGCGCGCCCAGTCCGCGCGCCCGTCCTCGTCGCGCAGTCACATCCGTCACCGGCGCGTGCACCGTACTCGTCGCGTGTCCGTCCCGTCCGCTGTCTCGCCGCGCGCCGATCATAACTACTGCGCTCGGGGTTATGGACGTGGCGGCGTTGGCCGCGGCGACCGAGACGACGACCGAGACGACCAACTCCGCGGCCACCGCGGCAGCTGCTGCTCCGGCGGATCTGAGCACGGCAGATACGAGGAACACGACGAGAGCGACGGCGACAGTAATAGCGACAGTGTACACGAACAGTTGTGATTATAATAATACGGCCGCTCTACGCCCAGCCAAGGTTCGCGTCAGATCGTCGTCTTAAGAAGAGGACGCGAGTGGGGCCGCAGAGTCTAAACGTGATCGCAGGTCAGTATAACATTATGTTATACTTATTATATACGCATAGTAAGTTATTATGGAGACAGTTTTAGCCAACGACTTGTTTTTCTAGCGCCTAGGAAATAGAAAAAAATACTACAAAACATTTCTAAAGAGCCAATGKGGTATACAGAGTGTAACAGAAATATATGACAAAATTTAGAGGAGGACTTTCTAGGCAGGGGCGTATAGTTAGATATCAGGCTCAATTAAAACATACGTCATGCTGTATGTTCATAATTATAACGCTCCACCCCGCCCACGCACCTAAACAATATTACTTACCCGATAATAATGGCAACAACAATTCCCATGGCATGTACGCCACTGTTCGAGATCTTTGGCCGATCATCACCCATTCACGCCCACCACAAAATAGGTACACGATTTTGATATTGCGTTGAATCCGTTATATCCGAAATACATATTTTTGAAGTGGTCATACAGTAGTGTAATATAGTTAGTATGAAGTTATAAAACAATGACTTATGTAGTTATGTGTGTATTATTTACATCGTAGTAATACGCAAATAATGATTCAAAAATAGGTTCGCTTCTACTAATCTTATATAGTACTATAATATTTTTGCCTTTTTTTGTAGTTTCGTACTCATATTACATTATGCTGTGAAAACGATCGATACACATGTGCAAGTATAATATTATAATARTTATAATAATATATCGYTTGTACCTAGCTCTGTAGTGCGTGGTGCTCAAATGTTCTGCAGTAAACGAACTACCCAGCATGATTATATACTACCTATATATAAGTGTGTTTGTGTGTGTTATTACTCCGCAATACGTCACGTATGTTAATGACCATGTGCACGTTCGCTGTGCGTACTTTGAATGGGTATCGTGTGATTTACGGTTGGCGAACACGAAAGTGACGAATTTCGTCGATCGGCTACCTCTGCAGCAGGTACAATATAATACGTATTATAATGGTATTGTATACGCAGCGACATTATATTATTATATTTCAAAAGCAGYGTGGCGTTCTRCAGTTGGAGCGGCTACAGAGTGTTATACTTACAACACTTAGGCCCCTGGGGTTAACTGCTGTTGCAGATAGAATATATAAGACGTGTACCCTTCTGGCATTTGCAGTTAACGGTCGAATAATGAATCGAGTTTAGACGATTTCGAATGATTAATGGCGGTGCATGACGTGCTATATAGTGCATATTTTATTATTTTATGGCCATGTCGTCTGGCGGGGTATGTTTACGGGATTTGTAGGTACTGTTATAGTGTTATASGTATTGGATTGATGAGCATTTAACGATCGTGAAACACATTTTTATCATCATGTACACATGTATATGAATTATTGTTTATGATACATATTTGCTAATTTTGAAATTATRTTTAGACCATAAGAAAAATAGAAAAAGAATGCTTTATCAGGCAAAGGTACACTTTTATGAGCCATCGACAAGAGATATGAATTTTTTAATTTGGTGMCCCACATTTCGTTTGTTTATTTTATGCGCCGTCTGTGACCTATTTAAAAGGTTGTCAGATTTTAATGAAAGTTTACCTGAAAAACCGAATGAATAGGTTTACAAATGGGTGGATTACTGGAAAACWACAAACTGCAAACTTTCAATACATTCTTTAATCTTTTAAACAAAGAGAAAAAATGACGCTTTTAGACTTCATAGCGAATTATTTTCCGACTTTCTCTTTGTTTTCTGTGTGTTGCAATTTAAATGCGTTAACCTGATCGATTTTCAGYCCTTCATTTCGAACTTAGTTTWATTTTATTTATTAAAAAGTTGAATAATTAATGTTAACTTGAGGCCGGATTGACTACGCAGTGGTCACGCAGTTGATTGCGACTCACACARTGATCGGTTCATAACAGAGTGCAAAAAAATTGTGTGGTTTACGTGATCACTATAATTTCTCGTGTTGTCRTCCGATTGCGTCATTCGGTTTCCAACTAGGTCCCACTCCACTGAGAGTGAAGACCGCACATGTCTCCTCTTGGAGAAGGAGTATAGTATCATGTATATAGTGATATATACATACATACATAAATAGATCAAATGATCTCCCTACTGCCCACTTGTGATACGCATTGACAAAGATCTCGGGTCGTTTCAATGAACAAATATAGAGAAAAAAAAATATTAGCTCGAAAATTTCTTGTCATCTTTAAAGTAATACGATATTTATATATATTTAACAGATAGTTCTTAAAAGTATRTTGTGTGTATATAAAAATTTAAAGTACCTAATATTGAGACGTTTGGTTTATAGTAAAAAATAATATTACACTTAGAAATTCCTTTTGTATATTTGTAAGTGATATATTGATATAAACACAATTTTTACAATAGTTATAATTAAAATTTACTACTGAACACAWTATGGAATTTGTATAAAATTTAAAATATGTTTTTTATTGATTTTAATTTATTACAAGTTTTYAACTTTCAGTTAAAAAATAATATTTAACTATTGGGTAGGTACATGAATATAATTATAGTTCCCCATTTAACTAAATCATTTCATATTTCACATTCACCAATTTAAAAACAATTTTATCAAAAACGAGTTAATGTCTATCACCAATAAAGTTTCTTACCTATTTTGTATTCAAAAAGCACTGCYTGTTAATTATTACTAAATAAAATAATTATACTTATATATCGTACATCGTTAATTATTAAATTGCACCGGCGATAAATTTGTTGATCATTTAGACAGCAAATAAACCTTTTAAACTTTTTT